GGATATGTGAAGAAAGCATTGTGTTGTACTGAATACTTGTCTGTGTATAATTCCAACAAAGCCAAATTAATTTAATAAAAATAAAATCTCTTCAGTGGAGACCCACAGGATTTTGTCCTTTAATTAATGACAAAAAGTCAGCTTTACTTTATAAAAAATTGGGCTTAAAAATTATGTAACCAGAGGTGCCATTATGTACGATTTAGCTGTAGCATTTATGAATTGATTTGTAGCCTGCTGCCTTGATGATACAAGAATCACATGAGAACTGCGCTTCTTTAATTTTTCAGCTAAACCAGTGCTCAGTGAATGAATAGTTAATAGAAAGTTCAAACTGAGATCATGTCACTATAAAGCAGAGCAAGTTGTTGCATTATAATTTAAGCTGGACAGCACACTGGAGCGTTCACTTGTCCACATGGTGCTCAACTCACTTTGTATGAAAGGTGTAAGGTTAGAGGCGGGGTTAGCATGGTGGGGTTAGCATAGTGGGGTTAGCATAGTGGGGTTAGTCATAGATTTTCCGGGGTTCACTTATAATCAGGAAGAAGTCTGTGTTCGCGCTGCTGCCACAACCTCTGTACCGGCGCCGGGGAAGAGAGTGCCATATTGCAGTTAAATATCAATTCAAACAACATGATTTATTATTTATCCTGCTAGCATGGATCTGTCCTCTCTTCTGACAGACGCTCAGGGTTTTTTTTTTGTAATTAAAAATTGTTGTTTTTTTCCCTGCCTTTGTTAGCATTGTTGGTAGATCTGTGTAAAGAACATAAACTGATAAAATGTTGAATGTGCTCAGATCTATATGCAGCTTCGTGACGTGAGCAGTTTATTGGACAGATAAAATACAGAGCAGGATGTAGGACCATGTGGCTAAAACCAGGCCTGAAACGCACACTGTTGTTTTTTTTTTCTTTTTTAACTCCACAAACTGAGTGTGAAACATCAGCACTTGTTCTCAGAGTGATGCAGGGTGTGTGTGAGACATGGCCAAACTCCTGTCTACATTTATTCTACAGATGCTGTTTGGTGAGTTCATACACACATTAGCAAAATAGATAGTAAACTATAAATGA